AAAGAAAGAAAAAAAGAAAGAAAGAAAGAAAACACAAAGAAGAAAGACAGGGAAAAGGAGGTGCTGCTCAAGAAAACCAAAACCTCAAAGCCTGTATTTCTGGAAATAAGCAAGTCTGCTAGCCTGACAAGTGCAAGGACCTGAGTTCAATCCCTGGTACTGGAAAAAAAAAGTCTGAAAATGAGAACACGGTACAAAGGTGACTTATGGTCACACTGGTTCAGGTCTCATTTTTTACCAATTTACTCTGTTGCTTTAGTAAATACTTAGCACATCTGCATCTGTTTCCTCATGGGTAAACTCAGAGAGTTCTATCTAGAATGAACTGCAGCATATAGCCCTGGTATCCTGAGAGATACTTAGAAGGAGCTTGCAGGTTTCTCCCCAACATTCCAGGACAGTAGAAAATATTTAAGATTCAGAATAAACTGAACAATGCATTTAAGAATGCTAGTTTCAATTCTCTCATGCTTCTCTAGGGCTGGTGAGATAGCTCAGTGGACTAAGCACCTGCTTAGGCAAGTGCAGGGTCCGGGGTTCAATCCCTGGCACCACATGCAGCAACAGCCGTGCCCCGGGGGTTGGTTAGCATGTGACCAAATCTGGGTGTGTGGATGTGGAGCACACCTGTAATCCCAGCACTGGGGAGGCTGAAAACAGGAGGATCACTGCAAGTACAATCTATTTAGTGAGACTCTGCACACACATACACACACACAAAAAAAAATAGAGCTCTTGTTTTATCATTAATCAACTGAAAGCTCTCCAGCTTGTAACTGAATATCCAGGAGTGCCCTTTTCTGTCTTCATAAATATTCTTGCCCTTGACCCCAGACCCTGAAAGAACCCATCATTCTACACATGATTGAATTTAATGGCTTCATGCATATGCATGAGATCACGTTGGACATTGTTAATTAGACACAGGGTGATCCCATTCAAACTGTCTTCTCATAAAAACTACTTACAGAGAACCCTCTCTGGGAGGGCCAGTGTCTTGTTCTAAACACAGGCTGTGGCCAAAGCCATTTGACCAATCTCTGAATAACCCAGAGATTTTGAGAGCAGAATCTAACACAGCATTCGTGAAGAGGGAGAGCTGGGTCAAAGAAAAACTCTCTCAAAATACAGAAAGCTGGGAGTGTGCAAGAAGTGGAATCTATGGTCTCCGCAGCAAGGAAAGAAGGCCCACTAGAAATCTAAGTCCAGCCACACATAGAATTGTAAGTTGTACAATAGCTATATTATTTTAAAAAGAAGAAACAGGTGTGGTTTAGTTTAATAATATATTTTATGGAAGCTATGATCTCTAAACTAATATTATTTCAAAGTATTATAAATACAAAAATATTACTTATGAGGTAATGCAATACAAATTTGGCCACCAAATTCTTTTTTGTTTTTACCTTCAGAAATAAGTATCTTTTACTTACATCATGCAATAATTTGGACTTTGCACATTTCAGGATTTCAAGAGTCACTTGTGGCTGGTGCCCACCATATTGGTTGTAAGGGAGAAAAGCCAGAGGAAGTGAGTAAAAGGAATTTAGGGACAGGTTCCTTTCTCTGTCAGGAAATTTGAAGGAATAAGTGAAAGCAGATTATGTGAATCATGTAAACATGCCTGGGTCCTAAGTTTTTGGAGAGCAGGAGAGAAGTAGAATGAATGATTTGAACTATGATCATTATTGTTCTATGAATCTTTGTACCATCTCTTTACAGGAAAGTTTATTTTCTTCATTTTAAGGACAAAGCTCAGACTCAAAGAGATATTCCTAAGTTCTTGTTATTTTTCCCTCCAAAAGAAACCTAAAGACAATAGAAGAGGCATTGTGTGGGTGGAAAGGGAGGACTTATGTGAGGTTTTGTTTTAGACTGAGTCGCTTGCTAAAAACTTTAAGCCACAGGAATTAGTATTTTGAAGACACACAATATTCTAATAAACTTACACTCATGAGCTCTTCTATTTTCCTTAATAGTTTTTATTATTGGATTGTTACCTATTTTACAGAAGTGGTCATTGAAAACTAGAATTCAAAGAATGAAATGACTTAGATGAATGAAATGATTTAAATGACTAGGATGAATTGCCTTTCTACATGGGATACTTTAGTGCCACTGTCTTCTCACCACTCCACTATAGTACTTTATTTTTGGTTTAAGAGAACCAGAGAACAGAACCTTGTACTAAGCTGTTCCTGAGGACCTCATCAGTGCCTCACTACTATCTGTGGTTTTTGCTATCATTTCTCATTTTGGGTTATAGACGTTGGTGCTCATACCATCTCTGACTGTTAAGGGCAGAAATCACATCTAGTTCCTCTTGCTACTTGCCATATTTTTTTTCTTTTTCCTGTTATAAAGGCCCTTGAGCAGCTAAGCTTTTCAAATTTTGTGGTCCACTATCATTCTCCATTATAGACAATGAGTTATAATATATGATCCTTTTATAATAGGCAAATAAAAAAATTTAAAGCACGTTGCATGCCGACTGATAGACTCATGATTAATACATGATTGTTTGAGGAACAAGGTCAAGTCCAGTGGCAATCTGTTCAAAATAGAGTTGAAGTATTGTCTTTGGAGTAGACTTTGTTGTGCGCAAAGAGTTATCAAAGACAGGAGG